TTTTATAGATTCAGATTGTATAAATCATATCTGATCTAGGTAAGAGATGGGTACATATCTACAATAGGAGGTGGTTCCCAATAAAGGGAAGGAAAGGGGAAAAATAATGTTGTTTTAGTCAGAACAATTTACTGTATCTTGTGATAAAGAACAGTGGGAAATATGAACAGATAATGACACCTTGCATTATAACTCTCAAAACACTTTAAATTAAAACACTGATATTAAAGAAAAATCTAAACAACACTATGAGGTAAGCAAATAACACTTCATTCCCTGAGAAGAAATGGAGGCTGAGAGGAGTGAAATGAATTGCCTGAGGACTCCTGATATGGTAAATGAGCTGGAGTCAGAATTCAGGTCTTTGGGGTCCTCTTCTTGGATTCTTTCTGCCATACCCACCTGTCTCTGAGCTTTGCGGCAAAAAATCATCTAAGGCTGAACATGGCCTTTAAGTGGTATGACCATATAATTTACCACCCAAACTAGGACACTTAAGAGTGAAAGGGGCATTCAATAATTACATGTGGACAACAGGGGTAACCTGGGACTGTCTCACTCAAACTGGGATGTATGGTCACCCTGCTCCCTATGGTTATGTATTCCAGTGTACTCTCCTGGTTTCATATTAGACAGCATGGGCTATCTAAGCCTTCGTGCTCTATTTACCCTTTCCAATCTGCAGAGGAGATTTGTCTATCGAGCCAGATTGAATAACTGATTTGAGCTTTTTAAAATGTTGTAACTTGTGTTATTTATACACAAAAGATGAAGAAAGGTTACCTCCTCCACGACCCACCCACACACCTTGGGCAGATCCAAACCAGTACATTTCTGAAGGCTGTTCAAGTAAGATCACCGGACGTGTATATCCCACACCCTGCATGTCCACTGACACCCTCTTCTTCCTTGACAGCTAACCAATCATCAAATCCTGCCCATTCTACCTCATGGGTTTCCAGCAAACACATCCAATTTTCTCCCCACCCCAGCACCACTACCAACCATCTTCAGCTAACCTTCATTCCCATCTGTCTCCTGAAACAGATTGGTCCCTCCTTTTCATCTCCTCTGATCTCTCTCCACACTGCAGCCTGAGTGATCCTTCCAAAATACTCATCAGCCACAGAGCCACCCTGCTTTCAAAGCCTGAAGAAGCTGCCCATCCCTTCGTCCCTGCATGATGGAGTTGACATGCTCACGGCCCAAGGTAGCAGTGATGAGGCAATGGGGGTGGGGTGGAGGTGGGGTGGAAGGCAGCTGCTGACCAGTTCTCGATTATTCTTACGTGTCAGATGAAACAAAATTTTTCCCAGAAAAATTCACATTAACCTCTACTGAGACTCATAATTTAGTGATCCTACCCCTCTAATGAACTGCAGTCGACGTGAGCAGAGGTCGCCGCTCCTTCGCGCCCAGCACCGTCCCTCACGGAATGAGAGCTCAAGAATTCGTTATTAAAAGAAAAGTGAAGTAAATGAACGTCAGTAATTTAGAGTTATATGCATTAAAATACAGACTGCCCTGGGCAGATCACGAACACGATTCTTTAAACAATGCCCATTAATTTCTGGGTATAGTTTTAAAATCAATGGTTCCTACACTTAATGAGAATACATATTTTTTCAAGTAATTACTATGATGGCCAGACATTTTTTCTAAGAAAGCAGAAAACAATTCATAAAAGTTCTGAAGCACAGTGCTATGTGGGCCTTATTTGGGGCCGAATGGTTAATATTCAAGAAAATCCCCTGAATATAAAATCATAGAAGAGAAGTCTGGGAAGTATCCGCACTGTCCGCTCTGCAGGTCAGTTGGGCCACACAGTCCTGACCTAACAGATCCACGCCCCGCCCTCCCCAGGCCAAACATAATGGAAGCTGGAATAAGGAACTCTACCCTAGCCCAAGGAAGCCAGAGCTGTTCTAGATCTGTCCCAGAGGGGCCCAGGGACCTTCCTAGACAAAAGGTGACTTGCAAGCATCACTGCTGAGGTGGCTTTTATCAGGTCGCTTCTACAAAAATGTGCACATCCCTAAGTGTGAGGAGAGAGCAGATGCAGAAAAATCTGTTGGATTCAAAGTTGTGTCCTCACTCTTAAATGAAAAGTAAAGAATTCCTGAGGAAAAAAAAGGATTTACCTACAAATTCAACCTAACTGTTAGGCAAAAGGTACAGCTGAGCTGAACCTATCACCAGGCACTTAGATTGTTCTCAGACATTGTCATTCCTCAAGGGAACCAGTGACAGGAATTTAGGGCTAAAGGGTTAAGCTTTTACTTTTATGTCAGGTCCTTGGTCAAACCACTTTTATAGTATGTGTGTAATGACTTATGTGCAAGTCTGGAGGAGTCTCGGCTTCATTCACATGAAATCTTCCGCCTTTCACTCTCCTATTCTCAGGAGAATGTCTACATTACTTTGGAAGAAAAGAGACTTGATCCTTCGAGAGATCAAGGCCCCCACACCCTCAGTCTTAAAAGTGGTCTTGCAATTTAAAGAGAAGAAAAGTAAGAAACCAGACCTAAGTTGCCTTTCTTTATGTGCATCCAAAAATTACCTTAATGATCGTTACGAAAAGATCCTTATTTCATTGTTATGGAACAATGTAAGGGTTGACAGCATGCCGTGAGTTCCAGTTTAGATTCTGCCATGTCCTAGCAGTGTAACTGAAGCCAGGTGTGTTTCCTCACCCGTAACATCATAAAATTATCATGTCTCAAATTTTTAGGCACTGTATGCGACACGTTCACTTATCTTCACATCACGGTAAGACCAAAGTTTTTCGAGGCTTAGTGGTTTCCTCAAAATCACCGAATTGTAAGAGGTGGAGGCAGAAATTAAATTTGGTCCTATGAATTCCGAACCCTTTCTCCTAGCACAGTCTGCCTTAAAATCCTTGGGACAGTGTCACTTAAGACAAGGGTAATGCTATATTAAAGATCTGTTTCCCAACAGATCTAAAAAGCAAGAAAGGAAAGAAAAACAATTACTACAGAAGATCATTCATATGTAGGTTATTTCATTCTATATACTAATAACTACCGTTTGATAGACTGTAGTTTTATATGCTAAATACTACTGTCAAGATCATATATTTTTCTGGATAGATGTTATAAATAAATGTACAAAGCTTATAGATACTGAAAGAATACAGCAGCTGAATACAAAGACATAATTCTCAATTTCTTCCTAGATATTTATCTTTGGAATTTTAGTGACCTACAAAATACTCAACATACATAATAGTCCTAAAATGTTCAAATGAAAGTGATGATGTTTTAACGACGGCAACAAGTGTGCCTCACAGTATTACTAACTTGAATAGAGCAGGACAAATTTTCTCCAAAAGATGCTAGTAAAAAAATTTTCAAAATCACAAGGGGCCGGCCCCGTAGCCGACTGATTAAGTTTGCGCGCTCCACTGAGGCGACCCAGGGTTTCGCCAGTTCAGATCCTGGGCAGGGACATGGCACTGCTCATCAGGCCATGCTGAGGCAGCATCCCACATGCCACAACTAGAAGGACCCACAACTAAAACATGGAACTATGTACTGGGGGGCTTTGGAGATAAAAAGCAGAAAAAAAAAAAAAAAAGAAGATTGGCAACAGTTGTTAGCTCAGGTGCCAATTAAAAAAAAAAATTTCAAAACCACAAAGTCCTTAAATATCTTAGCCACAAGATACCAATAAAATTGAATTTATGTCTAGATTAATTCGACAATGGAAGAGTCAGCAGTCAAAGGGTAAACTTCCCATTGTCCTTCTTTTCCTGAGAAACTTTGAAACGTTGAAAATCAATTCCTTTTGTCCTCTTGTTATTCATCTGCTAAACATTAAATAGAAACTCTGGGCATTGAGTGATTCCCGCAGGGTCTTTCATCTACAGAGAAGCCTGGTACAAATTAAATTCTTACTCTCTCTCACAAATTATAGATATGTATTATAGTAGACTACTGAGTTATCAGTTTTGCTTCTGCTAGTTCAGCTTAGTGTGACTAGCTGATTGTAGTCCTTTATCTAAAGTTACTTTGAGGTTGGGGATTGTGGTGCTATGTTAATTAACGTGGAGCACTACCATGTTGTTCTGACTTATGGGCTCTATTTTAAAAAGCATTTGTTTAGATATTTTGCTTTAGTTACTTCCCAGCTCCTTCAGCCATTTAGGCTACATGTGTGTGTATTTTAATATACTGGAATACTACTAAATAATATTACTTCTGGCAGCGATATTATGCTATAAAATGACCATCATAATGGTTATTACAAATAACGTGGAAAAACAGACTGTGCAGTTCTCTTAGAAATGTTTCACTGATGCAACCATTGTTTTAGCATTGGCCTTTAGGACCAATAGATAGTGACTGATTCCAATCATGTACTATGTCTTTAAGGAGAGCACAGCTTACACAGTGCATCCCTGTTGAATCTCTTCTATCAGAAGGACCACGTACGCTAACACACATGCAGCCGAGGATTCTCTAAATTGCGCTAGGAAGTTATAAGAATTTCACTTTCATCTATTACCTAACAAATATATTAAAAACCTTTTTTGGGGGCTGGCCCCATGGCCAAGTGGTTAGGTTCGCGTGCTCCACTCAGGCGGCCCAGTGTTTTGTTGGTTAGAATCCTGGGTGTGGACATGGCACTGCTCACCAAGCCACGCTGAGGCAGCGTCCCACGTGCCACAACTAGAAGGACCCACAACGAAGAATATACAACTATGTACCAGGGGGCTTTGGGGAGAAAAAGGAAAAAAAATAAAATCTTTAAAAAAAAAAAACAAAACCTTTTTTGGCAAAGTTGTTATTTTGGATCTTTAATACAGACAAAATTTGATCAGCCCTTGGTCAATTCCACAAGCGCCAGGACTCCTAAAATTATTCTATTTTCTTCCCCAAAGATTTGTCTAACGTCCAATAACTCCCTTTGCCTGTCTCCTAGAATCAAAAAAAACACTCTAATTAGTGGAAACTATCTTCTTCCCACCAACACCTCACCTCACTCGAATCCTCCTGCTGATTGATAACAGCCAGGGCGTCTTCCGCCGCCTGCCGCTTGGCCTCGGCGACTGTTCGCTCCATCTTGGCTCGCTCTGTCGTGATCATGTCATGGGCTTTCCGCTCAGCCTCAGACACGGCCTTCTGCAGCTCGGTCATCGCCTGGCGCTTCACCTCGTTGACGGCCTCCTCTGCATGCCAAGCGGGCCAAACAGGACAAGAGAACATTTCTCTGTTAGTGCAGGGCCTTGCATACTGATCCCTGTTAAACAGAATTCTATAGAACAGACATGACTGTCATCCCAATTATTGGGCAGTTCTTCTGGTTGTCTAAAAAACCAAGAGATTTCTGAACTTCACGTAGGAAAACAAAGGGTGAGATTTTTTTCTTTTAACTTACACTTCTGGGAATATTTTTTAAACTACTACAGCAGACCCCCTTATCTGTGGTTTCCCTTTCAGTGGTTTCAGCTTACCTATGGTCAACCGCAGCCTGAAAATTAATATTAAATGGAAAATTTCAGAAATAAACAATTCATAAGTTTTAAACTTGCACACCCTTCTGAGTAGCATGATGATATCTCCCACCTTCCCACTCCATCCCAGGTAGGACATGAATCATTCCTTTGTCCAGTGTATCCGTGCTGTATACACTACCAGCTCATTAGTCACTTAGCCCTCTCTGTTATCAGCTCGACCATCGAGGTATCACAGTGTTGCGTACTGGTGTTCAAGTAATCCTTATTTTACTTAATAACGGCAGCAAAGCACAAGAGTAGTGATGCTGGCAGTTTGGATATGCCAACGAAAGTTACTGTTGATTAATCTCTTATCGTTCCTAATTGTAAATTAAACTTTATCATAGGTATGTATATACACACATAAAAACATAGTATAAATAGGGTTCCATTCTATCTGTGGTTTCAGGCATCCACTGTGGGTCTCAGAACGTATCCCCTGAGGATAAGAGGAGACTACTGTATATCATCACTACCACTTTCCTATTAAACTGGTACCTCCAGAAAGGATTCTGGGACCAGACTAAGTAGTTAAAGGACAACAACCACCACAAGAAACCTGTCTAGACAGTTCAGACACATAGAGAAGGTGGTTTGTTGCAATGTTATAGCTTAATATGAACATAGGGAGTACATTGGTAAACCTTTCAGAAAAAAAGAGAGGAAGGGAATGCATTGTACACATACATATATGTAAGTGCAATCATTCTCCTGTTAAAATATCCAGCACAAAAGTGAAAAAGGAATTCATACAGCAATTAAATTAATGCAGATCTTTTTAAGAAAATCAGTGATGAAATAGACAATGCTTTTCTTTTTCTTAAGTCATTCCCTAAGTAATATGGATATATGCCTTTATAGACTAAATGATAGAGATTTTTAAAAATCATTTTTTTGTTTCTAAATTTGAAGCTGTTGTCCATCTACTTAATCAAATGTACACACAGTTTTGGCACAGCCAACTGTTGCACTAGAGAAATATAACTGAATCATACCATAGGCCAAAACAATCAGGCCTGACTACGAACCTCCAAAGTGTTAAATTAGCTCTTTATTTTTGGTGATGGAATGGGTGCAAAGATTTAACTAACGTACAGCCTAAGATTGACAACTAAACAAGTAATTTCCATTTAAAAAAATTAACTGTTCTAATTAACAAGGGAAAATATCCTCCCTCTGAATTAGCTTATCTAATTTTCATCTTTATTCAAAGCAAAATGACAATGATTAATTGAAAATTTAATAAGCAGTAATTATTAACTTGGCAAACCTAGTACCAATTAACACTCTATTAAAACTAATTATGACATGTTTCATTCAAGTGTTTGCCCTTAATTGTTTCACCCACTTAAAAAGTACCTTAATTAAATGTTCTGTATAATTAAAAACATAGATTCCCAATAAAAATGTTTTACTGTAGACTAAAAATGTAAGAGATGCAAATATTCCTATAGTTTCTTAAATTTCTATGGTTTATTTGACACATCAATAGTCCTTGACTTGAGGATTATCATAGCCCTCCACTAGTAATTAAGTGTCATGACTTTTGTAGCCTCTGTTATTTTAGCAGCATTGTTTCTGAAGTTCATTCATTTGCAATTACTCTCTGTTAGGTTTTATAAACTAAAATACAAGGAAAAGATCCAGACCAGAAATATTAACTAAAATATGTTAAGTCTTTGTTGGTTGTTTTTAGATATGCATTTAAAACGTGGGGGGGCTGGCCCCGTGGCCGAGTGGTTAAGTTCGCACACTCTGCTTCGGCGGCCCAGGGTTTCGCCAGTTTGAATCCTGGGTGCGGACATGGCACCACTCATCAAGCCATGCTGAGGTGGCATCCCACATTGCACAACTAGAAGGACTCACAACTAAAAATACACAACTATGTACCAGGGGGCTTTGGGGAGAAAAAGGAAAAATAAAATCTTTAAAAAACAAAAATTTGGAAGGAAACAGAGTACTGCACAGAGCTTGCAGCACCTTCTTCACCAGGAGGTGAAAAGATGCCTTTATCACCCTACCACATAAACGTTTTGGGGCACCAGGGAAGCCCTGCCCTTCTAACTATATAGCCAGGGTCTAATTTAGTTTGAATATTCAAGGTGAATTAAAATTCTAAGTGGTAATACAGGACAATAATTTTTGCTTACGATCAAAGCTGTAGCTTGACTAATTGTATATGCAAATCAGGCAATTTGTATTTAAATTATGCATTCCTATTCTAATCCCACAGGCATATACAGATCAGCAAAGAGAATTGGTAGGACATTTGCAAGGTGCTTGAATATTTATTACCAACTGCAAACATTCACTGATCGTTTGAAAAAGAAATATACTGAAGAAAAACATTCAGTTGCAATTTAAAAACCGTCTTTATGTTAGATTTTTTTTCTCCAATTCTATAAAGCCTTTGTAACTTTAGAGTGCATTCTTTATTTTTGCTCTTGCTTTTCAAAGTACTACTTTTAGGGGAAAACCGATGTGGCCTTCAAGATTTGTTGGGATTCCAAATACTTATTTATTATTTATTTTTTATTTTTTAATTTTTCTTTTGAGGAAGACTAGCCCTGAGCTAACTGCTGCCAATCCTCCTCTTTTTGCTGAGGAAGACTGGTCCTGAGCTAACATCCGTGCCTATCTTCCTCTACTTTATATGTGGGACGCCTTCCACAGCATGGCGTGTCAAGTGGGGCCATGTCCGCACCTGGGATCCCAACTGGCAAACCCTGGGCCGCCAAAGCAGAACGTGTGAAATTAACTGCTGCACCACAGAGCCAGCCCCGGGATTCCAAATATTTAAAAATGTATATTGTTGTTATTATATTGTATTATCAAGGCAAAACATCCAGAATTTCAATAGGGTCTGTAGATTAAATAATAGTTTTGTATCAATGTTTAACGTCCTGATTTTGGTAACTGTCCTATGGTTATGTAAGAGAATGTTGTTGGTCTCAAGAAATACACACTAAGATATTTAGGGTAAAGAGACATCATTATCGGCAACTTACTCTCAAATGGTTGGGAAAAAAATATGATGCATAATAGAGAAAGAAAAGGATGGAAGGAGAGAGCAAGAGAGAGAGAAGATATTAAATACAGTAAAATGTAGAAAATTGGGTGAAAGGTATAAGGGAATTTTCTATACTATTTTTTGCAAGTTTTCTGCAAGTTTGAAATCATTTCAAAATAAAATGGTGCAAATATTATATGATGTACTTTCAAGCGCAAGATATACTTTTTGCAATTATAATTTTCTGTGAAAAAGGATGCATTGGGTATATTAATTTTGAGACTTCGTCCCTTTGATATTTTTCAAATGCCTTAAACTTTATGTACTTATCTTTTGTCACAAAGTAATATATAATACTCTCATTGCAAAGGCACACTTTATAGGGTTTTTTCCTAAAAAGAAATTTGCCCACAGCAAATTTTAGAATCTTGGAGAAAATGCTTTCAAATTGTAACAAGCTGAGTGCAGATGTCACATTCTGCCCTCAGTGTTTCCATCATGTTGTATGCCTTGATACTGCGAACACAGAAAATGCTTTTTAAGAAGCCTATAAAGATAAATATTATAAGCAATTATTCAAAACTTCCAGATGAAACTGTCATCCATACTTTGGGGATTTAATATACTCCTTAAAATTTAGCATCCATCCATATTAAACTATTCCCAAACAGTTCTTATGGAGCAGATTAGGGATATCACTGTGAGAAGAATACAAATTTAATTGATACCGCTTTCAAATCATACTTTAGGTAGAAGACCTAATATGGATGATAGGCACATCTAAAAAATAATCCAAACATTTGCTTAATAAAGTTTAACCCTTATTAGAGAGTACATGGACACAACAGAAATAAATATTGTTCTCTCTCTACTCCCGAAGTCCCCACTACATCAAATACTCCCAGAATTGGTTTCAGAAACCCACAAAATGGACAGTGAAGAAAAATAATAGTGGACTCAATAGATTACAACATGTCAAGTGAAAAAAGAAAAAAAAACTGATTAAGTGGAAAATACGTAGTGCAGTTTTGAATTTGCTTCCAATTGCTTACCACTTATGGCAGGACTTCCTTTGTGCATAGCTATTCAAGTTGACTTTCCAACAAAGGTGGGATATTCAGAAAAATCTGCTCTCACTTAATAGCAGTCAAACAAAGACTTGAGCGGATAATAGCACAGAAAGAATTTGGATTACACAAGACTTTACTGTCAATTTTGCTTTATGAACTATCAAGGATTTAACTTAAGTACACATAAATAAAGGAAATGCAGAGAAAGACTCTCCCTCAACACAAAAAATCATCCTTCTGCTGTCCAAAATGGCAATTCTTTGTAGCTATTATTGGAATAAGTTGCACTGACAGCTTAAAAAAAGGGGAGAAAAATGGTTAGCAGGAAAATGTAGCAATTCTTTTTCCAGGTAGGTGGCACCTAGCACATTTTAACAGCTTAGAAGTATCCCATAACTAATACTCATGTAGAAAATCTTCTTAGAGGTGATGCTGTAAATCTGGTAAGGCTATGTAGCTGAGCAACTTATATATTTAACCTTTAACCTTGCAGCTAAATGGATCCATCCGATTTGCATATTGGACATGCAAGAGAGCTTTCTGGTTCTCAATCTAAGTTACTAAGCCTAGAATACTATCAGATTTTGAAACTCCTTATCACTTTTACGGTAACAGGTATTTCTCAGAAAATCTATAAAAATATTTTGATAAGAACCAAATGGCTAGAGAGTCAACAAGTTGCACAGCACTACAGACACAGCTGGGTCAAATCAAAATCCAAAGAGAAATCTTTTGGAGAAAAACACCCTTCTCTCTTGACTCTTGCCCCTTGATTGGGGTTCCCAGCCTTCCACCCATCTGACTATTTGCAAAAATAGTATTTTCCAGTTTCTCAACTTAAACTGTTTTAGCAGTTGAAGTTACAGCAGCTCAAAGCCACAGTATGTGTCTGCCACGTCATCTTTAACTCTAGAAACAGGTTTACGCTTTATCTCCTGAGTTGGGTTTCACAAAGTTTTTGCTCAACTTTTATAGTGCTGGTGTTCCACCAAGATTCTGCCAGATCTGAACTTCTTTAAGCCCAATACGTCAATGAGTCATCAACAACTTTAAATCTACTTCAAAGCATACAGCAGTATCTCTCAATGAAGATCAGATAGTGCACATGGAAAGGAAAAATAGAAGTTTAGCAACTTTGTCACTTAACTTAAAAAATATTTAGCTCTGGTCATTGAATATTAACTAACACAGAAGATGAATTTTAAAAATTGGTTGTAACCATAAAAATCTCTGAGTGCCTCAACAAGTCAACTAGATTTGATGTGATTTTTTTTAAGAACTCAGGAGATATATGTCATTTACACCTCAGTAAAAAAAATTCAGGAGAAAAGGCTAAAGTATGCAATTTAATTTATAAAAAATCAAATTTTTTTTATAAAGGAAAAATTGCATGCAAGTTGAGAACTCGCATGCCAACTTCCAGTCTGAAACCATTACGGCCTGGAAAAATAGAGGTTTATGATAGAAATATTTCCAGACTCTCAATAATAGTGGTAGTAGCAGATGCTACTAAAATAAAACTATTTCATGTTCTAATCAGGCCTGGTTTAAGAATATTAATCAGGATTTTTCAGTTTCGTTTTTGGGGGGAGAGTTGTTTTGTTTTTGTTGTGTTGTTGTTAGCAGGAAAGCCCTTTCTTGTCATTCTTCACATCACTGCATTAACAACTGCACACAGCTGCCAGAACACTAAACTTGTGTTTTTAAACAATTCTTACCAGCTTTCTTCCAGATCTCCTCTGGCACGTATCCAGAAGCAGGCCTGTGAAGGAATTCCCGATGTGCATCTATGAAAAATAAAAAGCGGGTGGAGGGAGAAGGAAAGCACCATAAGCACTGTTATGTCATTACACAGAGTAGAAGTAAGCAATGCCCATGATCTTGGCTTCCCCACAAAAACATAATTTAAAAGGCTGAGCATTTCACTTCTAGAAAATAAAAATAGCAACACCAGTCATCAGAGCTCAAGGAAAACAGAAGGTCATTGGTCTAAATGCCTTCTGTGCTCAATGCCAAAACAACTGTAATGATTTCATTATACAATATGATGTTTGGGAACACTGTTCCCAGCACTCCCTCATCTTGTGAATTTCTATGGGTATATTTTATTTTGTTAAAGAAAATAAATTGTATTTGGTTGTTTTCCTTTCGACAGACAAATTGATAGTTAAAAACATCAAATGCAAGGGTAATGTAATTTTCACATAGCTCTGATTCTACCATCTTTCAATAGTGAGCCTTTCTCCACAGCTAACCAGTTCTCACACTTAATTATTTCCTTAAAAATCTCACTGAGCATTGAACATTCTCACACAAATTAGATCATAAGGATTTGACATGGATGAAAGCAAGAAAGAATCATTAGAAGGGATTCACAGATATTCAGTTGATCAAATAGAATTAGTACATGCTTCCCAAAAAAGAAAACGAAGTGCCACTTTAAACAAAATGCTGTGATTATGCTGAAAATTTCTCAAATTTTAAAAGTTTGAGAAAACAGATCATAATAAAGTTTGTGTAGGAATGCTAACCTCCAAAATAACACGTTCATGGAAATGACATGAAACCTTTTATATTTTTTTATATATGCTTGAAAATAAACTTAAAGTGCACACAATCTTTCATAGCTAAAATATACACTACATGCCTTCCACATTGGATTTTCAATAAAAGCCTGCGTACAGCCATGTGTCACTTAAAGACTGGGGTATGTTCTAAGAAATACGTCGTTAGGCAATTTTGTCTTTGCGCAAACGTCATAGAGCTTACTTACACAAACCTAGATGGGACAGACTACTACATACCTAGGCTATAGGGTACTAATCTTATGGGACCACCGTCATACATGCAGTCTGTCGTTGACAGAAACATCATTATGTGGCACATGACTATATTTAGACATTTGGGGGAAGAAAGAAAATCATTTTAACTTTTATAAATATTACAATAATTCAACCCATGATAAATTTTGAGTAACTGAAATATTCTCTACATTTATAAGAAATGTCAAGTAGTAGAACTATCAGTTCTATCTAATGGTGTGTTGAAGATCAAAAGAAATCCAGTCCAGTCTTCTGTATTTTATAGAACTACAGAACACTGAAAATAGAAAAAAGTACAATCAACTTAGCTAAGAATATATCATTTCACATTTGAATGACTTAAATACATTTAAATGTTTTGAATCCTTGTAGGGTACATAGATTATCAGTTGGTCACAACACCCGATTTCCCCAACTATTGTGAATTAGCAAAAGCTTATTATAGCTTAGTGAAGGGCATATGGGAACTCTCTGTACTATCTCTGCAATGTTTCTTTAAATCTAAAATTATCCTAAATATAAAAAGTTTATTTCAAAAAGTTTACATTAGGGGCTAGCCCAGTGGTGCAGTGGTTAAGTTCGCACATTCTGCTTTGGCAGCCTGGGGTTCACTGGTTTGGATCTTGGGTACAGACCTAACCACTACTTGTCAAGCGGTGCTGTGGTAAGCGTCCCACATATAAAGTAGAGGAAGATGGGCACAAATGTTAGCTCAGGGCCAGTCTTCCTCAGCAAAAAAGAGGAGGACTGGTGGTAGATGTTAGCTCAGGGATACTCTTCCTCAAAAAAAAAAAAATAACTTTTAAAAAGAAGGTTAAAATTATAATTTCATGACTACTTGATAATCAGATGGACTGGAAATATCCATACTTTCTCATGTGCATATTCATTTCTATAAAGTAAATGATGAAAACCAAAATATTTGTATTTAAGTAATTTTCATTCATAAAACAGCTAGATAAAACTGTTTGGTGTATACATGGCTTCAAGGGAAGGTGATATGGCTAGTTTAGATTTATCAAGATTACCTTCCAAACCGCTATAACTATTTCCAGAAGAAATAAAGTGCAATCAAGTTCACATTTAGCCATATGACACAGTGAAATGGAAGGATTTACTTTGACAACTTTTAAAGACAATTTTTTAGGAGAAAAGACTTTGGCTTAAGAGTAATTTATTGGATAAGAATAGATTTGTAAAGTCTAAAGACAAATAGGAGAAATATGCCTTCTCCAAAGTAGCAGGAAAAAAAAGAGTTTTTCATTTATTGGGTTCAGGAAAAATCAATAGCTTTATAAAAATTATTTTTTAAAAAATAGTCAATCGTTACTATAGGGAACAGAAAAGGTGATGTTAAGTTATCCAAAGTTCACACATGAAAGATACTAATTACTAGCCCCAGGCAGCACAGGCAGAAGCGAGTTAGTTCTAGAGCTCAGTGAAGCTGAATCTTAGCTTTGCAACCTACTAGCCCTAGGTCATTGGGCAAGTTAGTTTCTCCTTGTCTCAGTCACCACATCTGTAAAGTGGGGACAAAACTGATAAATGTGAGAGCACTGCTGTGGGGAATAATGAGATACCTCCTATTACATGCTTGGCATGGCACATACTAAACTCTCATTAGACATTAGTTGCTATTACCCTCATTATTATTGTCATTGTTTAGTAGATTATCCAGCAAGTATAGAATATACTTATTTCCTTATAAATAAATAAGATGAAAAGAGCACTTTGAATTTCTGTTTTCTTCCAGCACTTAAATCCAAATAGCACAAAACTTTACAGAAAGCAAAACCACTGAAGAGGTTTGGAATAAGCAATATACACTAGGAATTTTTTACTCTCTGAGTACATGTCACTTGGGATAGAGGTTATTTCTGTAGTTAGCAATTTACTGTCTTAGTCCTTGGTAAAAAGTCCTCAAGTTCTTGGATGATACTTTCACATTTACATGTATATATACACATAGTTTACAATATGCCCTCCAGTTCTAAGTCACCGCATCCCAGGTAAACATCAGGTCTACTACAGAACGAATGGAGTGATCCATAGTAGATGTTCTCCTCAGAAATCTATTTTGATACACTGATGAATACTATAATAGCTATAGAAGCCAAATAACTAATAAATTTAATATCTTCACTTCTGATTAAGTAAGAGCAATAACAAAGTCTACACAGGCAAAATTGAGTTTAAAAAAACAAAAAAATACTGAAGTTGATCAATGTTACAAGAAGAGACAACTTCTCTGCTAGAAATTTCTCATTTTAGAATATTGGCTAATCTAGACAAACCCATACAAAACATCTTAAGTTTCTAAGGCTTGGATTCTAAAGAAGCTAATTTTTAACCATTAACTCTTGACCACCTATAAAATACCAGTTGCTATAAAATGGACGGTTTACTAAAACGTACTCATAGAAACAAAGACAGAGAAGTGCCTACACAAGATGGTTTAAAATGTGAAACGTATACATAAGAAACTACAGAAAGATGGAAAAATTATAGAAAAGTCCTTGTAAATTACGTTTATCCTGCTTTGGGATGCACACTGCTTGGAGGCAAGAGAGGAAGAGGAGGACAGCCTCCAGAAGATAACACACATCTATGAAGAGAGGAGACTAAGTCAAAGTGGGGAAAACGTTATAAGAAATGTGAAAGAACAGAAAGAACAATCAATGATGTATGAAAGAGACGGAAGATGCACTACACTTACGACAGAATGGAGACCATTGGATACTAGATACAGCAAGGGCCGCCATCAATATACATGAAGGATGAGCTGATAGCCTTTGGAGAACCAATGTGACCTCACATGACCCAGGACAGCAATGCTCAAAGCTTGGCAGCACCTAGGTATAGCCTTCCTCCTGTAGTGGGCAGAATGAGGCTGTGATCATGATAATATCTATTACAAAACCATCAAAAGAAAGGAAGGGTTAAGTGAATTCATCTTTACAAATGCTATTTATTTTTGTTTTTAAGGATAATAAATTCAGAAATTTCAATCTTATGTTTCAGAAGCCCAAACCCAACCTAGAAGTCACCAGCTGCATTAGGATTTCCATCTTTAACAATAAAAATACCTGATAACTCCAGGAGGCAATCATCTCTTCCTGTTTTTAAAAGATGGACGTATCTAACTAATAGTCACATCTTTTTTAACCCAATATACTTAAATACGGTAGGCACTTTACTTTAGGAGCTCAACTGAATGGTCTTGAAATGAATTTCATGATGTGATTTAAAGGAATCAATACAAATGTATACAATTCTGAACTTTTCTATGCAAACACACTCTAAATAACTTGTCTGTGGTTTTTATAAGCTTATAGTATAGAAATTGAATAAAGTATTTCTTTGGTTAGGAGCAAACTATTTTTCTATAGCCTTGTATTATGAATTAGGGTCCCAAAGCACAACTGATTTACTATATTTAACAGCATTCCTCTTTTTTAGTTTCTCTGCCTATTAACTAAAGCAGCCACCTAAAAGTTACTGCCTGGAATACTTTCTAGATAAAAAAATACCTAAGAATCTACTATAATTTCATAATCTCGGATGCCAAGCAAAAATACTAGTTTCATTTACCTCTATTCTTTACAGTTCCTTGAGATTGTATGTTAAAATAATAATAATAGCTATTACTTATATCACGTCTACTATGTGTCAGGCACTATCCAATATGTTTTATACCTTTTAATACATTTAATACAAAAACCCCTATGAAATATGTATTGTTACTATCCCCATTTTACAAATGAAGAAACTGAGGCACAGAGAGTTTCTTGGCAAAGATCACAAAACTAGTAAAAAGAGGAATCAGAGATTCAAATCCAAACATTCTGCTCAGAATCTGTGCTTTTAACCTTCATGCTAGATTTCTGAACATTTATTTAGACAGTACTGAGACATATGACATATTACTCATATGACAGTCATAAAACTTGCCAGCTAGAGGAATTTTAAAATACTACATCTACCTGGGGCAGAGTATTAATTTAATGGGGGGTGGTATTAATTTAAACAAACTTCGGAATTTCTAAGCTTTTTATGAACAATCAACTCAATTTTCCATTCCATTTAAAACAAACAAAAAACCTCTTTCTGACATTTCTCTTTCTGGGAAGAGCTAAAAACTCTTACCAAAACATATATGGAGGTATTTTCTAAATTTCATACCCCCTCATCAGAATATTCAAACATTCGAAAAACTCAAGGAAAAATGCACTCATATTTTAGAGTTTTATGCTTCAGTCTCTGACATCAGTCTTAAATCTATCATTAGATAATTCTTTTAATTCTCTCTCATGATGTAAAAGACTTCTAGAGAAATACAGAGGGCACACAAGCACAAGATTAGCTGTAGAAAGATTCTAGAATAGTCCAAAGTCAGTAAAAAGAAAGTAATTTAAAGGAAATAAAATGTCAGGAGCCAAGAGAGTGATGTAAACAGCATCCTGAGAGAAAAAGGAAATGAAAACAGAGAAAAGACGAACCACACGGACCCAGATAAACACTCCGAGAGCACGTGAAACGCTAACCAGCAGTTTACCTACCTCTGTATATAAAAGTAATTCTACTTCAGTGATCAAATCTGTTAATTCTGATAGCATTAAATTACTCTTCAGTGAAGCAAACAATATAACAAAGCTTAAATGTGCCAATAACAAGTATTACTTTGAAAACAGACAATTGTTTAAAAAATTAGCTTTCTAATTTTGTTAAAACTTGGATATTTGGAGTTTTTCCTGAAAAAAGTGACTAACAATAATAAAGACAATAAAAATCTATTATTTCAAGGAAAAATGTATTATTTCAAAAGTCCTTCAAGGTTATCAACCTGTTTTTGACTTAAAGAGAAGAAATAACATCATGAGTTCAGTATGTACTCAATTTTAAAATTAAGAGGCTATTCAAAATACTCTTTATATCAGATCCGAGGAGAACTCCCAAAATACAATTAGTAATAGATTAATCACGTTATCTAACTAATCACTTACACTAACTCAAACCACGGACGTATTTCAAAAGGGAGAATGGAAATGAGTTTAACAAGTACAGCACAGACATGAAGTTACATTCTCCTCTGTGCAGTCCCCTAATACAATTTAAAAATGCTAAGAAAGTGTGTATGACCAAACATTGCCGGTGTTTCCAAGCTAGGGATGTAACTAGGGCAGCATTTTGAACTAAAGAGTCCTGCTGAAGTTCAGGTCTCATTTAAGACCACACAGCAGCTTAAGAATTGAGAGAATCAGGGTAAAAGAAACACATACAATAATAACCATGGGATGTGGAGATCTACAGGTACATAAAGATATAGACATATCCATAGCTCTATCTGTACACACACTCCACTGCACACTTTAAAGAGGCAGAAAATAGATTTGCCAGCCAATAATCTCCAATCTTTTCATTGCACACCAATACATTCAACTCCAAAACCTAGGAGAGAACATTAGAAAGCTCTTAATGTAAATGATTGTGGTCCATGATTATAAACCACTTGTCCTCTTATTTATAGCCACAGCCCAGCCCCACAAAATGGAACCCAAACGTTTCAAGAATCAACTAGTAAAAGAAGCACAATGAAATAATTGCTAGATGCTAAAACTTGCACATGTATGGGGCTCTTGACAGGTTCTCTCTAAAAGTTTCTTCTTTAGAAGGCAATCTAGGGTTCTGTGTTTCTAAGGAACATGACTGTTTTAACAGAGCCCAAACAAAGAAATGAAATACGTGTAGCCTCTGAATAATATAATCTACAAAAGCTTAACGTCAAAGCAACCTCTCAATTTTACCAAAAATATGACTTCATTAAGCATCGATAAAAGGAATAGAATATGTGTACTCTTAAGAAGGAGTTTTTAAAACCAAGATTGTTCTTTTGCTTAAATAACAGGGAAGCTAAACTGGTCTTCCTGAGGCATGATATACATCTACATCACCAGAATCTACACGCGATAGTGGGGACTATATAACACGTGTCCTATGTTCTCTGTGCTGGAAATAATTAACTTAGGTGTAAGGTCTTATCAATTTCTGAAATTTATCTTTTACAATGGACAGCAGATAATACTAATGCTGTCAGTCCAGGGAACTGAACTGAAGTGGCCACTGGTGCCACACCACTAGCTGTCTCATGGCCTATCTCCTGTTCCTTAAGGGAAGGAACGAAGAATCGTTTTTGCGTATTACAGTGCCTAGCACGATGCCTGGCACATAGTAAGCATTCAACAAATAAGTACTGACTCAATGAATTTGTTCAATACAGCAGGCTAAACTGGATATTTTTACACCCAAAGTTTTATTTACTTTAAGGCTCTCAATTTTTGCCTATACTAGATGGTTACAAATACCCACTTTATTTGTCCTGAGCAGATCTGTCATGATTGACCAACTTTTGTGCAAAGTAAGGAAACAAATGTGTATTCTACTATGGTCTAAACAGTTTTATTTGAACCAATATTGGTGCAAATTAAACTTAAACCTATTTTCATTGCCTGCCTTTAGCATAATCTAACACATACATGTTTGTCTTTAAAATATGCCTTAGGGGGTGGCCCGGTGGCGCAGTGGTTAAGTTCGCACGTTCCGCTTCTCGGTGGCCCGGGGTTCACTGGTTCAGATCCCAGGTGTGGACGCGGCACCACTTGGCAAGCCATGCTGTGGTAGCTGTCCCACATATAAAGTAGAGGAAGATGGGCATGGATGTTAGCTCAGGGCCAGGCTTCCTCAGCAAAAAGAGGAGGATTAGCAATAGTTAGCTCAGGGCTAATCTTCCTCAAAAAAAAAATAAATAAATAAATAAAAATAAAATATGCCTTAGAATAATGCCTGTCGGGTAAATTAGTGACTTGGAATTTTCCTTTATCTAACACGTATTATGGTAATAGGTATTCAGTATTTGGGCATTAATAGGAATCCACAAACCTAAATGCGAGGGAAACTTTATTGGCTAGGAATAATTTTAATAAAAAGATAATGTGATCAATAGCCAGATAATATCTCAAATTTTTAATTTTTGATACTCAGCCATGAGTGATAATGAGGCCAATGTCATAAGCTTAATCTGCACACGTGTAATTAGTTTTGCTTTACGGCATGGACTGTACCCTAATCTGAATTACCTGACAGGTATGGCGCTAAAGATAAGAACAGAAGAGGAGAGAACAGGGATCGACACCAATCCACCACCACTAAGTTTACTCAAATGGTATACATATGTAACAGCCAGCAATGTAAATCATGACAGCTTATTATTAATTCAGGAAAAAGCTCGCAGGTCACTCAAAAATTCTTTCAAGTTCAAGATTTCTTTTCATATATTTGTGACTATATTCTATTTATAAACCCAACAATTCCCAAATACCCATACTAAATATGGCTACCTACTGGCATTCAATTTCTAAAGCACAGCTCTATTAATAGTCTTGTGTATAACTAGAATTAATAAAAGTTATGGTTAAGCAACCTAAGTTAAGGTCAAATCCCAGGAAGAGAGCTACATCTTTATCACTAATTTTCAAGTGGCAGTGGGCAAACTCTACAGCCCTTAGGTCTCTCTTCAAGGAGGGGTTTTGAGATGAAGTGTGTTTTTTAAAAAAATATAAGATACAGCTACAAAACAAGATTGTCTAAGAGACTCTGCCTTAATTAAAAATCAAACAACACATATCCCTGTGTGCAGTGCTCTCAAACACTGGCGTGCATCAGCAATCCCCTGGAGAGCTTGCCGCAAGTACAGAAGTCCCAGACCTACTCCCTGAGATTTGGTTCTTGAAAGTTGGAGGCAGGGTCCAAAGACCTGCATTATGAAGGAGCACACGTTTTAGTGATGCATATGAAATTCTGCTTCTACTTTGAAATAAACCCCACACATTAACCTGGAAAAGGAGTTTAAGTTTTGTGAGTGTCTTGCTCTATGCATATCTGCCCACTCTCCTAACAGACAGACAAGACTTATTCAAGGATATATCAAGTGTCTAGTGTTCTAAAATTCTCTGCATATCATTTATCTTTTAAAAGACAAGTTAAAAATAAAATCAGCATTAATAGCATAAGAAACCTCTGCTCAGTATGTCCATCTGAAGAAAAGCTACCTAATGCAACTGGGTCTGGGTTGACGGGACTTTGCTGCCTGGAGTGGCTGCTGCTACTGCTGCTGCCCTTTTTTAAGTCCTCGGCATCACTGTATCGCCGGATCCAGTAATTCAATTCCTCCCGGTCTGCTTCCTGACATCGCCTTAGTACAGTGAGAGATCGTCTTGTTTTCTCTACCATGTCCATTATGCAGTTTAACAGCTATGGGAGAAACAGGGAAAAAGGAAGAACATATCAATCACCACAACCTCAAGACTTTGCGGGTAGTAAAACACACCATTTTAGGACAATGAAGGATGCTATTTTATTCCCAAAGAGTTCAGTCTAACATTTGCAAAGGTTACATTTGAAATTGAGACTTGATGAGTAAACTCAATGGGAATGAGGCTAGAAAGTGGATGGCATGAACATGAGTCATGACTGCGAGATTTCAGCTGAAGGCAGACAGCGAGTAAACCCACCTTTCCAAATACTAATTCCATTACCGTAGAAACTAAATGACCTTTCACAAGAAAACAGTAGCCTGTTTATCTGGCTTTGAGGGGTCCTTTCCATGATCTACACATTTCTCTTATGGAAGGGACTTTGATATCAATTTAGAAATCAAATTCTACATTCTCCTTCTCATATTCTCACTCATTATTTTTTTCAAGAATAGCAGGAAACATAACACGTTAAAAGTACCCCCATGGTTTCCTTTTATCACGTAAACTCACTCCAGTTGTTTTCAAAACAATTTTTTTTTTTTTTTTTCAAAACAATTTTTAACCCAAATAATTACAGACATCTTACATGGTCAAGATGTTTCCATTCCTCTGCCCATTCTCTGTCGGTTAGTCTGTGATCAATCATTTCTTCTTGACGAGTGCCATGCAACCCTACAAATGTAGAGAAGAAGTCTGAATCACCCTGAAGCATTCAGGACATAATTCACATGCTCACAGGCACTTAGCAAAGATGGGCAAACTAAATAATGTGAAAATACATTTGACGTTGAATGGAGACGTGAGTCATACTCAGATTCAGAATTACCTAATGGGTTCCTCGTAGAATGAGAAAATGTTAGAACTAGAATGAATTTTAGAGGTCATCTGGTCAGAACCTTTTCTCTTACACATGAAGAAACAGGAAGTAAAGTGACACCAAGCCCTGAGCTAGTTACCCATACAACGTTCCCTAAGTGAAAATAGAAATATATCCTAACTCTTAATCAATACCAGAAACCACAAGTAGCCATTAAGTGGTTTCAAAGTGTGACTTTCCTGCATTGAAAATAAAGAGAGCATAAATCGTTTCACATGAGCAGGGATATGCTTATCTAAAACAAGCATGGAAAAATTTTTCCACATTTCAGCATAGTACAAATGGACCCAATCCCTACTACATATACTTCCATGATACAATTAGGCCATAAAGAGAGGTTTGCACAATATGAAAGCTACATATACACATTCAATTTACCAAAAAATAAAAACAGAAACAAATTGAACATCCTTTATGGAAAAAAAAAATCAACATACCAGATATAATTTGGACAAATATCATAAATCCAAGTCAAGAAGCTGAAAGTCCTAATATGTAATCCACAGCATTAGTATTAATGCTCTTTCGCATCACAGTTAATAAACTACCATGCAAAACTAACATGTGAATGTTTACCAAGCAAGCAACAATAGTAATGAACATGAGCAGTTAGCTAGGATGGTCATCAAAATAGAAAATAAACATGTCCTGCTAGAAGGATAGGATGGAAGGCTCTGATCAGAGATACCTGAAAATGTGCTGCTTCTCTTACAAATTCATTACGCATAAAACACCTTACGTACTACTGTAAAAGAAAGACATTGGGCTACGGCAATATTCTCCATTCTAAACAACTGAAACTCTTCTGTTTGACTGCTACTTCTCACACCATTATTCTGAAGAGCAAATTAATATGGCGTGGTGTGCCTTTTAGACACCTAGGCTCTGTCTCTGAGGGCGTTATATAGGAGTTAAAATAGGACAAGAGTTATGAAATACTGCATTCCACTTTGTGGGAAATCTGAGTGGCTAGAAATCCCCTCTTTTAGCTGCTTTAGAGAAATAAAGATGAGTCACATGACTCTTTTCAGCCATCCATGAAATATGATTTAATTTAGAGCTGATAGAAGTGATCAAATACATGACAGCTCTTTCTCAGACTAAGTAAAAAGCTAAATATAAAACACTTTGCATCATTCCTGTCCAATTAGAACACATTCTGAGATACATTTTAAAAGTTAAAATTGTCAATGCCATCTATTGGTAAAAAAGCAAAATTGCAAATATGTCTTAATAAATTGCATAATAGAAAAGACATGGGAGAAAAGTAATATTTAGTTATTGCTCTGTTTGTTGTGACTATTTCAAGTTGAAATGTTTGCAAATACGTAATTTTTGTTGACTTATTTGTTGCCTATGTTTTAGGGAAAAAGCATTACCGTTGAAATGAGTCATCACAGAAAACAACCAGAGAAGGATAAAGATATAAATGTGGCACTGACTTTCCCAATGGAGATATCTTACTATTTCCCTTTAAGAACCAAGAACTCCAGAGTTCTCAAAAGTTTCTCGGCTGTCCCCTCATGGCTACAGCACCTCCAGGTATTACACACTCACATGAAGGAAGTAACGGGTTCTCAAAAATTCAGCAGACCAAATCAATAATGATATGAGCTCTAACACCTGGAATAATATTAACAAGCAACAGAAAGGATGGCTGTGGCTAATGGGATTCCAGCAAAAATGGAAAAGTGCTAAGCATTATGTCACTTAAAATAAAAAAGTACATTAGAAACATGTTTGACCCCAAGTAATCAGTGAAAAAATATAGGACTCATTTACTGCTTTTGAACTCTGAAGGCCATTTGTTGGATAGAATTAAACCTTTAAAAAGAAAAAGTAAAACAACTCAAAATCTCACATTTATTATTTTCTCTATTTCAGATATTTAAATATTCATCACCACACACTTTTTATTTATATTCATAATACCAGAGAGATGTACTATAGGAAAATAGCTCACACTCATTAAAATACATTTTCATTTGTGGGAAATTTGACACTAATGTTGAGTCTTAACTGATTCCTAACTAGTTAAACTCTAAGTTTACTTATAAACTAATACTGCTTGTAAAGTTATTTTAACAAAGGATTCTAGTGAATGTATGTCTCTACACATAATAGGCATTTATAAATCCTACCAGACTCAGTATATCTTTATAATAATTTTTATATTCTCAAAATGGCAGCCTGATGTAACACCATAATTTGTTACTCACATATCAAGATTTTATTTTACGTTAACACACACTAAACTCTGCCAGACCTTAGGGATGGTTAAGTAGTTGCACACATTTATAGAGATTAGCACTGTTAGTTTTATAAGTGAATATAATTAAAAGGTAAGGAATATGGTCTGAAGAAAAATCATATAAAACCAGTGGGCACAGATATAATTCATAAAGGGATATTTTACATTACGAGATGAAAACATAATTACTGCACAGAAGCGTAATTACTTCCTTGGTGATTACTTTACAGTGCACTGGTACGAATATTTCATAAAATAGCATTTGCTGTCTAAGAAATAGGCCATTTCCTAACACATACAAAGTGGGATATTTTGAACTGGTCTAATAATAATCTAGTGACTCCACTTCTATTTGAGAATGAGCAATCATGGTTTGGGGGCATTAAGTCATAAATAAATGGCAAGGCTTTTGCTTCGAAAGCAGTTGTTATCATGTTCGATTTTGGGGTCAGAATACAATCCAGACCGAGAAATAACATAACCAATTTAGACAGCTCTTCAGAAATGGTACCTGAGAGAACATCAGAGAGACTAGCTATTAAGAAAGCACAAATTATACGCTTAGCCATTTGTCCAATACACAATACAAACGTAGAAATGACTACTGTAGCGAAGCAGAACTACTATTTTACTATCTCACAACCAGGACATCAATCACCCCTCCCCTCACCCTGACTCTCTCTATCTGCTTTCTAAACATTTGCAGAGTTGTGTGTAGAAAGGCAAAAAGATGCTACATGAGGCAGCTCCTATTTGCTAGTAACCTAGTTAGAAATGTAACGTAAATTTCTGCTCACCATACTCTCTACCTGTGGCTAAAAACACACTGTTCCCACTATTCAAGCAGAGGATAACTGGCTGGGTGCCTTTCCCTGAGTTCTGCATCCTCAGCTCTGTGTTTTGGTTTTTCACTTGGCCTTCATCCGTTGCTGTTTCCAGTATCCTGCCCACCAAATTGTCAATGTCAGGAAAGTCTGTCAACAACCAGCTACAAGATAAAGGAAGTCCTGCTAGTGGGTGGTATGGACACAGGAGACGGAAAAAGAAGAGAGGGCTGACTGTTGCTATCAGTTTATAAATAGCTTGACTCACCAAAAATTAGGACCTGAAGGAGGCCCAGGGACAGTGCTCTGATGTAATCACCTCGACCACTGACTGTGTATCAAAACTTACTTGGTTCATCTTCCTTCTCGTTTTTCATGGCGGACACTTGTTCTTTAAAAGAAAATGTCTCCTAAATGCCTCACTTCCAATAATTTTATGCAAAGAAGTAATGAACACAGGCCAATGGAACACACATTTACCCAAACTCATTCCTTCTTTGGTATTTTGATCTTTGACACTAAATTGTCAATACTAAATTGAATCACTGGCACTTTCAGGTAAAAAAAAAAAAAAAGTACCAAAACATTCCTCAAAGAACATATGTTGAGTTAAGCTACAGATATCATACCATATCATATTTTTCAAATCCAGAATATCATGGAGACTCGAAAAATCAAAATGGACCTTAAGACTATCTGAAATAAAAGATACAATGAAAGAAAAGAAACATTTTTAAAAACGTATGTGGCAGATCGATTGCATATGAAATTTCTCACATTAAAAAAAATTAAACTAAAAATTCACTTTGCATTTGTTAATACAGTTGAGGGCTTTATATTAATTTAGACGCCCCCCCTCCCAAAAAAATAAATAACCTGCTGTTGTAAAGAATGTAAGTGAGAGAAAGCACAGCTGTTAAAGAACATATGAATACTAACTAAGTTATCTCATAAAAGAGACAATATAAAGAAAGAGAAGAGAATTTTTACCCCTATCAGATTTCAAGCCTCAAGTTCAGCTGAGAAGTAATGATGCAAGTCTTCAAGCATCCAATCCCATAAGAAGTGAAGAGTTCCTTCAGTCTTACCCATAGGTCTGTTTCTGTCCCTGAGGTCCCTGTGGCTGGGGTGTCGATAGGAGTCCCTGTAGTGGTGGGCAATGGCCATATCATCCAAACGGTAATGCTGAGGTGGAGGTGGGGTTGGGTGAGGCAGGCCATTGGGCTGGTAGGATAAGCCATTATTTGGACTGTACCGCTGGCCTGGGCTAATAGTGCATGGTCGCTTGCTTGGATGTTCTGAGTGCAAAGGCTCTCTGTCAAAGCCATTTTCTTTGGTTCTGAGGGAGGAAGAAAAAGAGTTTATTTCATAATGTACTCAGAAACCAACACAGTTGACACTGAGATTTGAACTGTAATATAAACAGAATATTCATTTACCGGCCAGAAACTTTCTAAACTCAGCTTCCCAGACCTTTGGGAATTCACAGGAGCCCATGCTGGGGCCTAAATGTTCACAAGACTGCACACAAGTGAAAATGTTTCAGTTCTCATCAAATTAGCAAATACCTTTTCAGCTGAAGCTCATGTGGTTAAGTCATAGATAAGAGGAAACCCAATCTCCTCCTACAAATAACATTTGCGTTCAAAAGAGTACTTGCCTTCTAACAAATTACCCTAAGACTGATTGTATTGGATGAAGATTCATCAAGGTAGAATAGCATCGCTCCCTTGATGAATTCTTAAATACACTTATTCCATTTATCCAACCTGGCGACTGACTTTCATGTCAGAGAACATCTAAGACCTGTGTCATCCATACAGTAGCCACGTGAGGCTGTTTAAATTAAATGTAAGTTAATTAAAATTAAATAAAGTTTAAAATTCACTTCTTTAGCAGTAGTAGACAAATTTCAGGTGCTCAACTGCCACCGTGGCTAGTGGCTATGGTATTGGACTGTGCAGGTAGAGAATATTTCCATCATCTCAGAAAGTTCTACTGGACAGCACTGATCAAACTGAACTAATGCAATAAAACAATGCAATGTCTGGGACTCTGACATTACCTAGAAGACACCTAGATAATAGATTAGCCGTCATAAAGAACTCAGCTGGGACTAGAAGGAGGATCTAGGTGAACCTCCTTATTTTAAAGTTGAGGAAACACATGCCCCGAGGAACTATGTGAATTCTCTGGGGTCATCAGGTCTTAGGGCAGGACAGACAGACCTTGACTGCACTTCATCATGTGATACACAGAAATTTGAACTTGGTTCCCCGAAGGACCATGGGATGAGACCTGATACCTAATCACTGCTCTTAGATTCTCAAACAGAAGCAGGGCTAAAGACATATTTTCTGGCTGAATGTATCTCTCTATTCTTAGAGACTAATTCAATATACTCAGTAAGATAGGAACAAACCACATACAACTTTGACTGGAATCACAGCTCCTAAACTAAGTTTTTACTTAGTAGCTAGCTCTCCTCACAAGACCAGCACTCTATCCTTAGACCAGTGCTCTCACCCATTTTCCCTGGGAAATTTCCCCATAAGAATTCTACCAAGTACAGTAGCTGAAGATTTCTGCATGCCTTTTTGATTTAGGTTGGTGATAACAGCATAGAGGTCTTAAGACACTTCTTCTACTTCCCCAGTGTCTAGGGTAGTCTTTGTCTGATAATACTGGAGGGAAGTATCTCGACAAGAGAGATCATTAGGGGCAACAGGATTCTATAATGAACCATCCTTTATGTCCCTTTAGGGTAGAGACCCAGTGACAATCCATGATTAAAGGAGTTAGAGACAGAACACAGTGGCACACAAAGAACTGAGGGAAACTCTGCAGAGTTCACTATGAAATAAATCCATGCCCACCACATGCTGAAGAAAGATGCACTGTTGTGGAGATGAGAAACTGACCGACACTGGAAATGACAGCAGGGCAAGGTCCCCATGGGAATGACCGCCAGAAGTCCCAGTGCTGCTCCCATCAAAGCATGTGTCTGCACTAAAACATACTCACTCCATACATTTTCATCATGGACAGATTAAAATGTCCAGTATAGCTCAGACATTATGTAAATGCATTACTTTAAAATAGTTTTTAAAAGTAAAAGAAAACATTCTAGATATTGATTTATTTTCTAAGAGGATATCTATGTGATTCTAATCTGTATTTTCATATCCTATACATGTCTGAATAATACACTTCAATATTCAATGTGTATTACCAACACAAATCAGTTAGAAAATACTGAAGACTACTACTAGCTATGAATATAATGATAACCCAGCACCTACCTTACTGGCAGTGTGATATAGTGGAAAGAGCACTGGACTGGGAATCAAGAGACCTGAGATCTAGTCCTGGCTCCTACCTGACTAGCTGTGACTTTGACCAAGCCACTTAACCTCTCCGGACCTCAGTTTGCTCATCTGTAAAATGAAAGAGTTAGACTAGATCAGTGGTTTTCAAACTGTCACTTGAGGTGCTTAAGGGATTCTTTCCGTAGGCAATGAAGAATTTTCCCCCAAACAATGATTTAAAGGACCAGAGGAACCCACTTATTATTCTTATCCATTTTAAAAACTGGGGTTCCACCTAAGGTTTCATTTTTAAAGGAAAAAGTCTGCTGCTAAAATTCAGTTTGAAAACCACTGGACTAGAAGATTTCTGTGGTCCCTTCTAGTTTGAAAACTCTGCAATTCAACTATCCTATATTTACATCTAATGTCACAGTTATGCAGATCAAAACCTACAGGGCTGATTATCCTCTAGCCAAACTGTGTCTAAGTCAACCACTTGAGCCAACAGAGAATTTCTCTGTTCTTTGCTTGAACAATTTAATTATTTATAGCTGATTTTTTGTGCAAAAATAGAAAATATCCCCAATACCTTACAGCAGGCCCTGTTACATTCCTAAATATGGAAATACCTTTGACCCAGTTGTGTCAAACCGCCTCAATTTACTGGTTTGTCTGTCCTTGTTCAAAGCTAACAACAACGTACATTAGAAGAATTCTTAGAATTTTCAAAGTGGTTAGATTTGTTATTTATCTTTACCCTCAGATCAGCTGTCTGATCAGTGCTATTACTTCAAGGACCCATTATTATGAAAACAGAGCTTTTTTCTCCTCCCAAAACAAGGATAGTAATATCCTAAGAAGCAGGGCTAGGTCCTCGGTCTGTCTTATCATTTCTATCTGGTCTCTCCTGTCCTGTCCTGGGTCCCATCACTCTGTTAGCTATTGAAACAACAAAGCTCATCACCTCAGAGAGGTAATTACATTTTAACAGCAAGCAAGAAAGCTGACAGCCTACAGAAATGAAACTATGAAAGGTCTCCCTGGTGCTTCACCGAATCACGCATGTCTATGTGTAAGACCAACACCATCAAAGGCTCAGCCCAGAAAGCTAACAGAAACAACTTCATTGCTATTTGTCTGTATTGCTTAGAAATGCCGGCAACCATCTACACCACATTTGCTTGGGAAAATTCCAAATTTGCATGTTTGTTGCTCTTTCAAAGTGTATTAGGCAAAATTAACAAATATTTTTCATTGTCCCAGACCAGCATACCCTTGAAATAACTCAAATTCTCGTTGGTAGTCCATCATGTCTCACGGATTTCTGGAAGGCATTTTTCATTTGTTTTTTTTAAATCAACCTGAGGATATTCCCTCTCCCTACCAGGAGAAATCTTCCTGAACATGATCTCACCGCTTCAACATTTAGAGCCCAATCACTTCTCTCTCAGGGTCTGATGGTCCTAAGAATAGAGGAACGCTCAAGATTCAGCTGTGTGACCTTGAGGTTACCTAGCAAAGTTAACGTTCTGGCTATAGTTTCCTGCCCAGTAAAATGAAACTAACAGGAAACAATATGTGGAAAATAAAACAAAACAAAACAAAAAAAACAACAGAAAACTTAGGCAACCTAATTTGTACTTTACCCCACCTCAGGCTGTTACTTCTCAGTTCCTCAATAACAGAGGCTGTAAACTGATTTATTTGAGAAAGAAAAGACCTTTTTTAAAAACTTTCCTCGGGTCTGGCCCGGTGGCACAGCGGTTAAGTTCGCACATTCTGCTTCTCGGCGGCCCGGGGTTCACGGGTTTGGATCCTGGGTGCGGACATGGCAGCGCTTGGCAAAAGCCATGCTGTGGTAGGCGTCCCACGTATAGAGGAAGATGGGCATGGATGTTAGCTCAGGGCCAGGCTTCCTCAGCAAAAAGAGGATTGGCAGTAGTTAGCTCAGAGCTAATCTTCCTCAAAAAAATAAAAAAATTAAAAACTTTCCTCTACATAAAATATTTTATGATACATAAAATATATTCATGATTGGCTAGTGTACACTCATAATCCCATAGCAACATTTATATAAAACAGTATAACATTCAAGGAAATGGGGAAGAAGAAAAAAAACTATTGTAAGATCATGGCAATAAACAGAATAAGAAGACCATAGCAATCTCTTACATGACAGAAACAGGCATAAGTTTTTTCCTAGATTAAATTTTTTTTTAAGTGAGGAAAATATCACTGTAAAGATTGTTCTAGGGAAAGGCAAATTGGTACAAGATACTAAACCTTGGAATGGCAAGGAAGAAACTCAAAAATTCTAACCTTAGTCCTGTTATAAATAAATACACACCTTCTCAGAGTTACCACAGGCATTTCAAACAGAACATAGCCAAACTGACGTCATCTTTTCCTGGTACTTTCTGTACTAGTCAATTATGCTACCCTCTACCAGTCACCCAAGCAGAAACTCAGAAGTCACTCTATAATTTTGTCTCTAAATCAAGTCCTGCTGCTGGTCTCTTAAGCATCTCTGGCATAGGTCCCTCTGCCCTACCCCAGGACATCTTATTATCTTGGCTGATCACACCACTGTCCCACTCTGCCAGCATCTCAGCCACAGCTGGGACTGAGATGCCGGCAGAGTCTCAAAATAGGTAAAAAAAAAAAAAAAAAAATTCTTTACTTCTGTATTTTAGAAGTCTGTATCTAAATCTCAGGAGGTAACAGTTCTAGTAAAGAAAAGCCCAAAGATATTAATAACTTAATATTAAACACATCTTCCTTCCCTTTTCTAACATAGGCAGTTTGTTAACGTTCCATAGAAGGACCAGACAGTGAATCAAAGGGGGTAAAAGTCATTCTTGTCACCATATTTTTAAAACACAGTTCAGTAAAAAGTTTCTTCAAGACTTATTAGGAAAAAGATGAGTTTAGATAAGAACTTTACATAACACCTTTCTATTGGTGTTGAATAATGTACCTGAATCAAAATATATTACAAATTCCCCCGCCTCCTTAAAAAGAAAATCAACCC